TCCCTACAGCACTGACTGCTTTAGGAGTGGAGTGCCTGCAGGCTGAGCAGAGTTCACCCCCCTGGGGGGAGCCTCCTGCCCTGGAAGAGAGGCAGGGAACACCACTCCCCTCCTTTCAGGTTCTCCAGAAGTCCAAAGCATCATCCTTGGTGTTCACCACCCTGTGGGCTCTCAAAAGCCAGCGTGACCCAAACCTTTCTAAGGGGAGTGTCCCTTCAAGTGTCCCTCCCTCTCCTCTGAGACACGAGGACACCTCCAGCCCCAGCATTTCACCACTGCCCTGGCCCAGCAGCTGGAGGCACAACCCCAGCAGAACCCCCAGGAGGTTGGTGACCTACCTCTTGGCAAACAAAGGTGGAAAATCTTGTGTTGGGCTGCTGCAAAGGATGCATAAAGGCAACAGTTAGGAGTCTGGAGGTGAGGACACACCTCGGGCAGGGGCAGCTCCCACAGAGACTGCCCCACCACTGCCCCCTGTGCTGCCAGGACATGTGGGTCATGGCACAACACCCGGGTGGGGCTGGCAGGGACCTGCCCTAGACCTGGGCAAATTACAGAGCAGAAAGAGGAAGAGCAGCTCGTGAGGACCTGGGAAGTAAAGAAGATTCCCCAAAGGGCCTTTTTAATTGCACACTTTCCTGCTGGGTGTTTGGTTTCCTGCACACAAAGCTGGCTCCTCTTGTGCCACCCCAGAGTTCTGTCAAGAGGAAGAGGATTTCCAGTGAAAGCAAGCTGCAGGAAGCCACCAACGTGGGCTCCTGGGAGAGCAGAGACCTTGGCAACCTGCTGTTGTTTCCCCCCCAGGGCAGGGATGGGCAGCAGAGCCTTGGACACCAACAGCTCCCACACACCCTTCCCCATGCCTGTCACACAGCCCCAAGTTTCTGCTGTGCTCTTTTTCCACACAGATGTGTTTTGGGCTCTTGTAAAGGTAACTAGTGTTCAAACAGGCTACAGGGAAACCCTGTGGCAAAAAAAAACCTGACCCACAGTGGGTGCAGTTGAGGATTGTTCTGATTTCCCCCTTGCAGGCAACAGAGCTGGAGTGAGTGGTGTTAAGAACTGAAGGTGGAGCTCTGATTGTTCCAGGGAATTCAGGGAGTTTGGGGCTGTCTTGGCTTTTCTGTTCCTGCATTCTCACCCCTCTCCATGAGGAAGCTTTCCCAAGATTTTTGGGAGGATATTTCCAGCTCTGCAGATATCCACAGCACTTCCAGAGAGACTTTAGGAGTGGAGTGCAGCTACGTCTGCTCCAGAGGCTGGGAAGGTTCCCATCCCCTTCAGAGGGCCTTGGGTGAGGCCACCAGCCCTGTGAGGCCACCTTGCACAGCCTGCCCCCCATCTCCTGCCCCACACTGCCTTGCTGAACTCACCCATTGCTTTTCTTGGCTGCTGAGAGGACGTAGGCACGTTCCTTGCTGGCACTGTGCCTCAGGACACTGTTGGCTGCCTCTGTCCTGGAGGGGGAAGGAAATAAAGGGGGAGGGGGAAGGA